GCTGGAACGCGCGCTCCAGGCGGCTGCCGGGTAGTGGGCTGGGCTCCCCGCCGCCCGCGTCTTTGTGCGGGGCCCCGGTCTCGACGCTCCGCGGGCAGTTCCCAGGGGCGGATTTGGCCAGAGTCCAGTTGCTCCTGTTATTACTGGGGTCAGGATTTGCCTTTTCAGTCACTTAAGACGCGGATTCATATCCCTGGGGGGGCAATGGAGTGGGTTCGACCAATTCGCCCAAAGATTAGAAATTCTGATGCGCATTAACGTATTCAAAATAAGTCTATGGCAAAAGATTAATTAAGAGAAAAAAGAAATTGCATTGCTTAATTGAAAAGAATTATAAGGATGAGAAGCCTGAAAAGTCTCATCAAGGAATAAAGGAACACAGACACCGAAGGGATTTCAGAAAGAAAGGAGTGTACACAACTCTGTGCCGTAAGTTGGAAACAAAAAATCTAAAAAAAGAAGAAAAAAATCCAAGTATCACCTTTTTAACTTTGAGAAACATTATATTGTGTCCCACTTCCCAAGAAACTGATAATCACAGGGTCTGCGATGCTATAAGGGGACTGAGGGGCAGGCCAAATATTCATTCAGCTTAATACAATTTATAGGTTTGAGGAGTTTGGAAATTTTAATTATGATTAGCAGTTTTTGAAATGCATATCATGTTTATTGAGTTTTTTCGCAGACCCTGGCATGAATCCAGGGTGAATCATCAACCTTTTGTTGGTTTGTTAATATTGCTGTAAATGCTTATTGATATCCTTATACCATACACTCTTCCTGAAGGAGTTCTAATCTGTATATAATAGAATAATTAAGGGATAGAACATGGTGCAAAATAATTCACTCATCTATTTTAAATAAAGTGATAATTTTCTCTTTGGAATATCTGTTCAGACTACAGTTTCCACATCCAACAGCTTAAAAATAATCGGGCTGGTTAACATTATTGGACTGTGACCCAAGAGATCTAAAATCAAATGTGTCTTTGCCATTACCTTTCTGAGCAACTTTCAGCAGGAAAATCCTCTCTGCTGCAATTTCTTCAGCTGTGAATTGGGAAAAACTAGTTAATACCACTTTATCTATCTAATAATGTAAGAACTGAATTTTACAACATAATAAATTCAGTAGACAGCTCTCAACATCCAGCTACAGATGGAACTATTCAACAACAGTTTGTAAATAATGAAGGGTGAAAGTGCATTAGTTAGATGGCTTCAGTTTCCATCAAAATCTACATTTACAGGAGCACTATCTCTAACAAAGATTCAGCTCTGTGGTGGAGGAATGGACAACAATTCCAAGAGGATGCCCGTGGATCCCACAGTACCATTCAGCAGGGAAGAGAGAGGTTCTCAAGATCAGGAAACTATAATTACTGTGGTATTAGGGACTGACGTCATTTTTATTTATTTTTCAAAAACAAAGATTTAGAAGTCTCAAAATTCCACATCGTTATAAAGCATAATATTATGGTATAGGGCCAAAAATTTAGCAAACTAGACCTGTTTAACTGTAACAATTCCATGCAAGAATTGTGGTCCCGCCATAAAGCCAGAGAACACAGGCTTCCTTCCAAGGAACTGAGAGGCTGATAAGGTAATAACAATACACTGTAATAAGAACAACAGTTAAAGCATTGATTGAAAGCTTATTACATCCCAAGCACCAGGCAAAGCATGTTGCATTCTTAACCCACTTAGTCTTGACACACAACAGCCCAGGAAGTCAATTATTATCATCTCCATTTTAAAGGTCAAGAAACTGGGGCTTACAGAAGTTAAATAACTTACTCAGGGTGAAAGAGTTCAAATATCCAGTGGGTTTTTTTCATACTATGAAATTAGAAAAAGTTTCCTTATTCTCTTTTCAAGCAAGCTTTAGAATGTGGGATCATTTAACGGAACGTGAAAACATCAACAAGGGCTTTTGTTAGTTACTTCATGTATCTTACTACAGGCAGAAGTGGATTTTATTTTGTATACAGAAGTCAGAGACCTAATACCATTATTTGAAAGAAGCCAAGAGAAAAGAGAGATTATTTAATAAATGATGTTGGGCAGATAGTATGGAGGAAAAAAAGGCAACATAGAAAAAAATTTGTAACAGGTTCCTATTATTCCTAAACACTCCCCCCAAATTATAAATGGATATTTTTGAAATGTAAAAAAATGAAACCACTAAACCACTATTTCTTCAGTTGAGTTTACTGGTGTTTATTTTATTATTGTCCTCTATAACCTACATATAGGTTATATTTATTCTTTTGTAGATGTCAGATATTTTATGATTTTTTTAAAAATGAAACTATTAAAGTATTAGAGTAATACTAAAACTTTTTAAAATTCTGGAAGTTGAGGAAGTTCTTTTTAAGCATGACAGGAAACTCAGTGGTCATAAGAAAAAAATACCAATAAATCTTACTGCATATTTTATATCTCTAATAAGGCATAAAAAATCATAGCAGTTCAAGAAACAGAGGGAAAATATTATATGGAAAATACCTATAATAAAGGGCTAACTTCCTTAGTACAAGGAGCTCTTACAAATTTGTAAGTAAAAATTAATGGAAAAACAGACAAAATATATGAATAAAAAGTCTGAGAAAAAATGTGTTCAATAAACATATGAGCATATTATTATGCTCATAGTGACATAAATGCAAGTTAAAGTCACCTCTCAGAATATAATATTTTTTTCACTTCATAATATCCGGTATGGCTGAGGATGTGGGAAAACAGGCACTCTGATGCACTGTTGGTAAAAATGAAATCATTCCATTTTTTTAGAACACAATTGGGCAGGTCTATGAAAATGTTAAACATTCATACCCTTTGACCCAGCAATTCTGCTTCTAGAAAACCATTCTACAAATAATCCTGCACAAGTTTACAAAAATATATACAAAAGGCTCACACCATTATTTATAATAGTGAAAACCCGGAAAAAGCCAAACATCTATCAACAAAAAATGTTTAAATAAATTCTGGCACAAACATACAATGGAATGCCTTACAACTTTCAAAAAGAATGTGGTAAATCTGAATTGATAACGAATGGTAGTTAACATTCAGAGTTACATGAAAAAAGCCAGTCACAGAACAGTTAATGGAAAGTATAATTGTGTATTTTTAAAAGGACAAATTTGTATATGCTTCAAAAATGTCTAGAAACATAGCCACCAGGAAAGTGTTTGCAGTAAGTCCACTAGGCGTGGAATGAGGAGGGGACAGGAGACTGACTTTTGACTTCATTCAACTCTGTTCTGCTTGATTTTTTTCTTTTCATATCAAACATGTATAATCTTTATAATAATAATAATAATAATAAAGAAGTTTCAGGAAAGAAAAAAAGAATTCAAACTCTTTGAGCATATGGCCATTAACTAGCCTTCATAATTCGCCAGAAGTACTCAAGCCTTAGAACAAGTAAATTCTTTTCCCCTAAAATGCCTAAATCAAAACTATGGTGCTTTATCAAGGCTGGTAACAGACTGAAGCTTGTTTCCAGGCATTTTCTTCGCAGCTGCCTTCCAAGTTTATGTAGTGCAAATACCAGCCAATCAAGCACTTCAGCGACCCCCCCCCACACACACATATACACATTGCACTTTTTCGGTTGATCCACGGGCAATATTGCTTACTCCCTTCCTGCAGCAGCCTCTCTTTCTGCAGGTGCCAGAGGCTCACCCTACATACCCACAGTGGGTATACACTTTATCATTTGTTGTAAACCAGTATTGCTCCTCTTCCAGCCTTCTTCCTCAGGCCAAGTGAGTAACCCTTGGGAGCCTTTGAAAGTCCATGTACTGAATTGGAACGGAGCCATGAGTGATTATTGGGGGCTTATTGCAAATTGCAGGAGGCATGTATTGTGCATGCGAACACATACAATAGTGAAATGGCCTCCTCCCACCCCCCAAAACAAGATCAAAATCAGAAACCTTTTTCCTTTGTTTGAACATGACTAACTGTGGACAGCAATTAAGGTTCTCAATGAATTTTCTTTCAACCAGAGTAGAAGGGGGCCTGTTTATCCAGATACAGCTAGATCTCAAGGAAACCCTGTGCCACTGAGCCCCATCTCATCCAGTGGGGCGCATTCTCTGACTCACACTAGCCAATGCCACAGCATGCTGTCCGAGGGCACAAGGATGCCTTTTGGATGAGATCTAAACCCCAAATCTGACTTCTGACCACATGTGGTGATTGAAAATTCTCACAGGGCTTTGTGAAAGAATGAAGGGGAGGAGAGGCTGATTTTCACTGTCTTGGCCCAATTCCAAGTTTGATCATTAGCTGTCCTCCTTTGTCTGCCTGCCATCTCACTGAGACATGCTATTCCACACTTCCCGTTGTAAACAGCTGTCCACTGTTAACTGAACGAGCTAGAGAGGCAGCAAATTCCACCCTGGGGAAAGCTGAATTTCAAGATAAACATTTCCTCTGCATCTATTGGTAGATTGGAGGAAAGGTGTAGTTTTCTAGGGAGAATTAAGGGCATAATAATGGGGAGTTGAAAATTATCAACAAACCCTGTTTTGTCTTAATGGTGAACAAAGAAAGCTGGCATTGATCACAAAGTAGCCCTTGGAAGGAGGGGTCCAGAGAAAATATATTTTAGATTCTAACATATTATTTGGGGGATCCAGAATTTAATCTTGTAACATCAATGTGGCAGGTCCAAT